GTAGTTCTAGCTTGCCGGTATCGTTTGGAGTGCCGCAGGGCTCGGTGCTCGGGCCCCTGCTGTTCATAGTTTACATCAACGATTTGCCTTCCCCCATACCATGTAAAACTACGCTCTACGCGGATGATACAATTCTTTTATCCCGAGCTAGGAACCCATATGAACTTAGTATTGATAGTATGGCCAATAAGACTAGAGGGCGTGGATGGCTCGAGTCGAACTCCTTACAGTTAAACGAAAATAAAACAAACAATCTTATTTTCTCTTGTAGCAAGGTGCACAATTTAAATAATGCTCCGGTTAAGGTACTTGGAGTCTGGATCGATCGTACTCTTTCTTGGAAAGATCACGTTGAACAACTTTGCCCCAAATTGACAAGTCAATTGTTTCTAATTCCTATCATGTCAAGACTTGCTTATTTCGGATTGTTCCATTCTCAATTAGCGTACGCTATTGTTTTGTGGGGTGGTTCCGTGCATGCCCGCAAGGCTTTTCTTATGCAAAAAGGAGCAATACGTGTGATTGCGAATGCAAAACCTCGTGATCACTGCTGCCAGCTCTTCTCAAAGCTTAATATTTTGACCTTACCATCACTATTTATTTACTATACAGTCACACGCATACATGAGCTAAAGAACGATATGCCTAAGCACTGTGATCGCCACAATCACTACACCAGGACCATTCTAGGCTGCGCACATCCGAGTTAAATAAATTGTACATTAATTATTACAATGTTCTACCAACCGTTGTCAAGGATCTGCCATTCACTAAATTTTGTAAGGTAATCAAACGACTTCTATTGGAGAACATAATACTAACTGGCAATTTATTTATATATTTATTTACTTATTTTTTTTAGCTAATTCTTGTTTCAATTTTTGGTGTTTGTCTATCTACTAATTATTTTGCTCTCTATGAATGTTATTAGAATGTGTTTGGTACTGTGTTAATTCATTTTCATTCACACATGTGACTTGCCATTTGTTGTTCTTGTAATGTATTATAATAAATACAATAAAGTCTAAAGTCTATTATTATTATTATTATTATTATTATTATTATTATTATTATTATTATTACATATTTTGGAATATGCGCATAATTTTGTAAACAATGTTTACGACATTGGCAAGCCGTAAACAAAATTTAATTGTTTCTATTACCGCTGCCTTTGGCAAATTACAAAAAAAAAATCATTTTAGCTCTAAAATAAGTCAATAACATATGTTACACGTAAAGGTTCATAATTTTTCATATAATTCAAAAATAATGTAATATGGAAAATATATATTTCGCTGTATTGCCACAAGAAAATTCTTAAATAAATATGCTCCTAATAATTAAATCAAAAAAATTGGCATGACTTTAGAAATTCACTCGAATTGCGTTTTGTATTATTTAATTTAATATTCATTTCATATTTGTTCACACTTTATTTTGTATAAAAAACTGATCTCCTCATATGGTCTAAAACAAATGAAAACGTATCTTCCTACGTAGTCGATAGCGCCGAGATAAAAATAGAACTTGACACCGCGTGTCGTTAAAAATTATCCCAGCGTCACTGCCTCAACGTAGTACGACACTCACAGAACAAACACAATATCGCACGTGAATCACTCTCTATATATTATTTTTATTCCGCCCAAAATAAACCGGAAACGCGACGCCGATTGAAAATCGATAAAATCGGGCCGGTACTAAAATGATATATTAATCACACTCAATGCAAATAAACCGAGCGTCGTTTTTCTCCAAAGTGAATCCCGATTTCTCAGAAATGATAACGCTTATCGCCTACATACAAGGTGATTCACACGTCGACTGTCCTATATCGATCGAAACTTTAGACCAATTTTTTGCACTTTTCTGAAAACCGTTTTATCTCAAAGTACTCTAAGGTGTTTATATTAAAAATACCTGAACGGAGTATATTAATATTAATTTTCCGATTCTTTTTCTTGTATCAATCGAATATGGCAACGAGCACGCACAATCTTTACTTTTAATTGCAATTGCAAATATAGAAAAATAATAAAATATTGGAAGATATACCCCAAACATTTAAACATTATAATTATGAATTCTGATTATTCGTACATTTACAGTCATGCGTAATACCAGGGGTAAAAAGAGTGCTTAAAAATTCTAAAAAAGAGCTATGGAATACAATCATAATTAATTTATTGAAGTGTAATTTTTTTGGATAATTCTATGAATTTAGCTAAAGCCGGAGCTTTCGCAAATTTTATTATAATAATTACAATTATTATATACAACAATAGTAAATTTAATTAAAAGTAGTCAAAAATAAACCGACTCGATGGTTCAAAACCACACAAAATAATAAAAAACCTAAGCACCCTCCCCTACATCAACTTTAATGTAATTAATTTAAATTAAATGAAAAATCATTATGATATATTCAATTAATGAAGATTCAATTTACATACCCACTTAATACTTTTATCGAATATTGTTTAAAAAAAAACTAAGAAATCTGGAACGTCATTTGCTATGATCATCCAGTTTTTTAACCCCCCTTTCATTTCAGTTATTTTTTACATAATGAATGGAGTGGAGTGGATAATTTTTTAAACTATTTTTAGTTAGAACCATAATTCTTTTTATTTTCAATGGAACGGCGTGCGAGCGCTGACTTCAACCAACGGCGGCAAGCAACAATCAACTGCTGCAGTACACTTCGAGCCTCATTTTAGGTTATGTTGGGTTCGACCTCTTATTTGCGACTCTCCCGTGGAAGCGTTTCGTTTACTAACCGGCCTCGCTCTATAGCCGATTTTTATTTATATGATTTAGTTCATATTGTCGGTCGTTTACGATGCATTAATTTCAAACAGGGACGCCCACTGGGGCAAACGGAAACTACCCGAATAAAATCCGGGACCTCGTCTAGGATGTTATTAATCGGCTGCTGATGACGAATATCTATGCGAAGACTTGAGGCACCATTCTTCCGAATTATCCCTGAGTCATGCCTTGGCGGCGTCATTTCGTAGGGGTCGCTAAATCGGGGGCGTTCAATTAAAAATATAATTAAATATAAATTATTCGATTTGCAGGTATAATTTTTTCAAGTTTTGTTAACTTTTTTTTAGAAATTCAATATGATGATTACTCGAAAACGGCTAAAAGACGCAAATACCTTTAAATCAGGGGCGGACTTCCCTCGTTACCTGCAAGTATTAAGGACTGGAATACTCTCCTCAAGCTTCAATTACAGTCATTAATTGTTGTTTTGTTATTTGCTGCTATTTTCGTTTTCAGTTTGTCTGAAGAATTTTTTTTTTATGATGTAAACAAAACTAACACCGAATTCCTCGAAAAACTAAATTGTAGAGAACAGAATGCAAAGGAGATTAGTGAAAATACTCATTAATTAAAAGTTATAAATAACGTTATCAAATTCCAGCAAAATCTGGAAGGGATATTTAATTTAACGTATTACAAAAAGTGTTTTTGAAATACTTAACACCTTTTATATTTAGTAGCGTTGACTCATGTTTTTTGAAACACCCTCTACATAGTTAAATTTCGAAGATATTTTTTGTTAATGTTCAAGACTTGACAAAAATAGACATTTACACTTATGTCACTGCCTTTAAATGTTTGTGTACTCAATCGTATTGCTCTAATAATCAACAAATTAATGATTTGTGAGCCGACATTGCTACTAATAGAAAATCAATAACTACTTTTAAGACTACTATTCCATTCCGACAATTTACAAAGCCATATTTAAACAATAGTATCCCTACGCTGAGTGCTCTGTGGGAGGTTATTTTACTAACTGATCTAAAGGCATAACAGACTCCGTCATATAAATATAAATATCAAATTCAATAATTATAAATATAATGCAGAGTAAATGGTCGAGACGCCCGTGATATATATTCAACCAACCCAAATCTTGATACTTTGGGTTAGATGGAATTAGTGTCGAAAATAAACGTTTTTCTGTTCCCCGTTCTCCATTTCGTAACGAATCCTATTGGAAGTATTCAAAAAAAAATTATTTCTCAAAAACCGTTGATGATATCAAATATATTATTAAACCAAAAAAAACAAAGAAGATTTTGGCCCATGAAGATTTACGCTTGATAATTTTTCAAAAATATATAGGGTGCGCCGTGAATTCGTAAAAACTGAGTTCCTCTTTTAGTAAGTACTCAATTTATTTTCTACGACAATATAACTCGCAGAGACAGCTAAAACTTTTGTATTTAATATTTGCACATATTGTACAGGGTGTTCAGGATATCCAGTGCTATATTGAGAAATGTAACAAGCTATCGACTTCAAATTTCGCAGAAGTCTACACCGGTATTTAAACTGCGCGCCAGCAAATATTGCAATTTTTTTTAATTTTTTTTTTGGGTTGTTTTGACTCCCACAAAAAAAACTTTTTCTCGAAAACCGTTTACCCGATCCGTGAAATTCTTAAACCCAGAGACGCAGGACATCCGGTGCTGTAACTTTCGTTTCAAGCATTTATTATATAAAACATCCCGAAAATTGCTCTTTTCCAGATCAAGTTATTCGCCGTAAATCAAAATTCATATAAAATAGGGTTAATTGGTTACAACAGTTTTGTGGGCCGCACTAATAGCTACAATTTTTGTATTTACGGTTTTCGTGTAACGCCCCGTATAATAATGAAATATAAATAATGGCGACCGGTGCAATTATTTCAGAACCGCGTTTCGCCGATTGACCTCGCCGCGGTGCGAAATCAAAACAAACGCCGATCGACATCCAATTATACGCCTGAACTCTAAAGGTCGCCAGGGAATCCCTCACGGTTCAAACCGGAACCCGGCATCTCCGTGACATAACCAACCCTTCGGAGACGACGGCGACGACGGCGACGACGTGTGGGAACTTGTCCGCGGTACGTCAAACCCCAGGTGCGGGTGGGAGTGATATATATCCCTGGAGTCACTCGCCATGGTTCACACTAAACGATCAACGCTTCGTCGGTCTCACCAGCACACGGCGTGACTCATATCGCGACGTCGAGATAAAACGTACGTAATACACACACGATTCGGTGCTTAGTGATTTTTTTTTTACGCGAAACGAGGAATACCACGACACACACACACGACAATGACTTCCGATTCGACTCCGGGTCTTGCTAAAGGTAAGTCGGTGTTTTTCTTCGTTTCGATGTTGGTTGGATATCGAAAGACGACAGGTTTTTATTCTTAGAGTAATACGTGATAATAAATGAGTATTCTCACGTTCTGTACCGAAATAGGGATCAATTTACCCAATGTAAATTTTCCACTGCACGGAAAATTTGTGTATTACATTACATATTTTAGAATTTTACCTATCTTCTTATTCTGTATTTTTTTTAGCCTATTTGTACCGCTAAACTGTAATTGTGTGTGTGTGTGTAATACAAAGTATTATAAAGTAAAGTAATATAAAGTATTATAGTAGAAAAAATGATTTTACTAAAAATACTCTCGATATTTAAAATAAGACCAATGGGCAAATGTTTTTATGTTATATTATGTATAGCGTTTGATCGTTGTGAGAGTTTATCTCTTAGCTCATGACCAAAAATTTTGCCCATCTTCTTATTCTGTTTTTCTTAACCTATATGTACCGCTAAACTGTAACTGTGTGTGTGTATGTGTGTAATGCAGTTAGCGGTATACATTTTTTTATAAAATAAATATGTGAAAGGTAATTGATTTAAAATATTTTATATAATTAATATAATTTTGACAGTATTAAAGTAAAAAAAAAGAATTTACTAAAAACATTTAAAATAAGACTCATAATAAAATTTACGTATTTAACTAATGGGCCAATATTTTTATGATATATTATTTAGATCGTTTAGAATCCACAAGCTCGATAAGTTTGATAATCTCTTGGCATTTTCGCTGAATCACCTGCTAGTTTAAAAATTTAATGAACCAAAATTATTTTTATTATTGTTAAAAAAGTTGGTAGAAGATTAATTTTATACCAAAGGTAATAAAATTTTAATAGGTTAAACAATGTGAAATATCGTGAAAAGCTGAACCGGTCTACGATATTTGATCAACATTGTGCCAAAATAAGGGTCGGTACCAAACTTTGAATGGATCTTTGAAACTACTCGGACAAGGTCAACAAATTTGAGTTGTTCCGTTTATTTACATTCTCTTTGCGCTTTGGGTTTTATCAGCTGCTGTATAACGATAATTTACGATTCAATAATCAAAATTTTACCTAGTACCATTAAACCGCATTTAATTTGTCCGTATCGTTGGAATCTATTCTAGATTAAATTCGTCGCATTTGGTGCTATTAATCGGTCGTTAAGTGGGTACCCCCTGTAAAACTGAGGTCGTGGCACTTGCCGTACAAATAGTATGTCGATACATAGGAAGCAGACCGATCGACAAACAATCATTAGCTTGCGGTTTAGCCAATCAGTGATTCATTATTGTGGGATGCGATTATTTCCATATATAGGTGGCAAATTTTTTTTATTATGTGGGTCAGAGACAGGAATGACTCGTGGTAAGACGACGGTCCGTTTTTTCGTTTACGCGATCGTATTACATTTTACCGCAGTGTGAAATTTTTCCAAGTGACTAAAAACAAACGTAAATCGATCGAGGGGATCCACCGCCGCCGCGATAAAACAGATGTCAAATATTTTCCCCTAACGTTACGCGGTATTTCACGGCGACACCTTTGCGAATTCCGCTGCTAAACATGCAAATTTTTGCAAATTCAATTCGTAGTCGATTGAACCTATATTTCTAATCACGAACGTCACTGTAGGTACAAAAAAACAATGTGTAAAACGTTTCCGAAGATATGACTTTCTTTTTGTCAAATTACATCTGACTGTTTTGTTGCCATTCAGAGTTAGACAAGAGAACATTTCTCGTACAAGAAGCCCAAATCAAAATTTACAAAACTGTTTTCATTACTATTTTGAGTTCTAATTTATAAAAAAAGCCTTTATTGCAACACCATGTAGAAACCATTCAAAAGCTTTTCAATTTCGTCCTTCGAGGAGTAGTTTTTCAGTATCTTAATAACCTACTTATTCTTCAGTTCTCCAATTCTTATTAAATGAAATTACGCACCCCTAAAATATATAAACCCACACCTTGAGAAGCCCCGAAGCTCCCGGCCGCTCGGCCTCTTCTCGACTGTCCCCATCTCGGTACTGACCGAAAAATCGATCACCCACCCTTCCCGCGTCGCCCCCACCAAGTTCGCACGGCTTTCCCACCCACACAGCGGTACTATCGCACCTCGCGACCAACCCGACAAAGCCTACCGAGTCGCGAAACCCCCACGTAGCAAACGAACAACTCCCCGAGAGGTTGGCCGAGCAATTGTTCTTGAGGCCCAGGGCTGCCGCAGATCACGATCCTCTCTAGAGCGTTCAGTGCTGGTGCAGAATCGCGAATGGTACGACCATCCGTCGAGACCGACCCGAGTCCGTGTGACTTTTTCACTTATCGCGATCGATCGATCTATTCGCGGCGCTTTCGCCTAATACTATGGTTTTGTGACATGGGTACGCGATGTCTTTCGACACCTCTGCACGTTGGACTTCGTATTGATTTACGCATTTGCTCCAGGTTCTCGCTCGCAGTTGCTCGTGGCGGCGATTCTCGTCGTCGCGTTGAGGACCGTCAGTTCGGCGCCGTCTTCGGAATTGGATCTGTTGCTGAACCCATGTTACAACCACGTAGTGAGGCACCACCGTAGCCCGGCCGACAAGCAACTGAACAACCTCAACCAGATACTGAGGACGCTGAACCTCACCAAACTGTATCCGAAAGTGAGTGTAAAACAATTATCTCTTGAAAAATTTAAACGAACCCTCGATCCGATTTCAGAGTCTGAAACGAGTGTCGGGAAACTGCCCGAAGCTGAACCGAATGATGCAGCCGCTCCGAAAAGCCTCGGACTTAAAAACCGTGAGTATTTTGTCGATCTTTCGTTTTCGCAACTAAGTCTCGTTATCGATCCAGGCCCATCAGAGGTTCTACCACTCGATGATCGAGTTCTACTTCTTCCTCAACCAGCTGCGAGACTTGCCGATCAAGACGAACGTCAACTTCGACTTCGAGAAGAGGCGGAGCTTCTTCGACCAAACGAAAAACAGCCTGCGGCTGACCATATGCGAGTTCAACGAAACTATGATGCACGATCACGGCGTCGCGGTCCAGACGCTGACCAAGGCGCCGCGACTCAACACCAAGTGCCTGCCTCAAACGGCGGACCTTTCCAGGGCGCAGATGCTCGACGTGCAGTTCTTCAAGAAGATCCGCAAGTTCTTCAAGCAGAGCAAAGTGATCTTGAAGATGCTGAAGCGCAAGAAAAAGAGCAGGAGCAAAAAGCGAAAGACTGCGACGAGATGAGTGCCTCGTGCGCTATCGAAATGAAACAAAAATCCCAAGCCTGTGATATTTAGTGTAAAGTTTTTAATTTATTTATTTATTGTATTTATTGAGCGCGCCTGGTAAATCGTACGGGGTGCGATCGGGAAAATTTCGAGCAAGCGCAAATCTAAGCATTCCAAATATTAGATTAGGCGGAACGTTAGTGCCTTGGTGCCGGTGGAGGGGCGCCGGAAATGCTGTATTATACTTGTGATATATACTAGACTGTAGGTTTATTTATTTGTAATTTATTTTAGCTCGTAAGTGTCCTTCCGGAACCCGGTGCGTAATTTTTTCCTATATATGTAGATCGGAGTTTTTCGACGCGAAAGTTGCTGACAGTATTATATCGAATTTGTATTGAACTCCGTGTTCCGCAGGTCCGCCCCCTTTTTTTATTGTAAATAAAAGTATTTTTTGTAACGTCGCCTGAGTTTCTGTTACTTTCACCTCTGACCCAGTTGCGAGCGATCGAATCGTTTTTCGATTTTCGGTAAACACTTTCTTTCGCACGGACGTGCGAAAAGTTCGAAAAGCCGACGCCCACGAACCACATCGGGCGTAAAGGAAACTTCAAATGAGGGGACAATTACGTTTTTCTACGATGAAATTAAAACCAGAATAACTTTTCCATGTTTTTTTTTAAGATTCTTCACGGTTCAATGCACCTAAAGGTTCGTAAATAATAGGTTAGGCCTCTGCAAATAAAACCTTAATATTTTTTAATCACTTTTTTTTTACACTAAGCCAGATCGCAAATCTAGCACATATTTTTTCACACTTTAACTAACAAGATATAATGCAAATAATTATTTTTCATATAAACTATGGCACTAAATTTTTGTTTTTATAGAATCTGGCAAATGTTCGTAAAGTCTAGATATGGTCAGTTCATAGATATAAGAAAGTGACCAATTGCTTTTGAATGGGATTATCCAAGGGTGGTCATTAACATACAAAGCAACAAGATTATGACCTAAAGTTTCGGCATTTAAATTCAAGTAAAATTGTGGTCTGTACTAGAAAATAATTTTATACCTACCTGTCTTTAATATTGCTTGCTTTGGTATACTACTTAGTTTAAGTTTATTAGTAATCATTCTTATTTCGTGTGTAATACAGCGTGTGTTGAATCGTGTGCGAATTATGCAAAATATGTGCGAGTCTATTGTATCCCAGGAGATGCTCCGGCCCAAATGTAGAAAACACTGTTCTATTGAGACTAAGGAAGTTATAAACAATGTTTATTTGACTCTCATTGAACGTGGTGCCACCAAGCAAGCATCTTTAGAAGAAAAAAAAATGTGAATAATCCCATTTCAGAGAGGAAAAAAAGAAGCGATGCAGACATTTTCTCAAGTGTAGATGAAAGTGATCAAGATATAATACGGCGCAAAATTTACCGGTTATTCCAGGAACAAAGCGTGCCTACATTAGATATATTAATTAGGAGGCTTGAAAAATATGAAACCGGTGTTAAATGTGGCAGAACTACCTTACGGAGGTGTATTTAACACATGGGTTTTAGATTTAAAAAAATTGACAAAAGGCAAGTTTTAATGGAATCTTTTAGAATTCGGAAATGGCGACTGGAATATCTAGAAAAAAATATGATTTATAGAGAACAACAAAAGCCAAATATTTACTTGGATGAAACCTGGTTCGGCACTTAAGATACCCCGGAAAAGGGTTGGGTTGACTCAACTGAAAAGTGTAAAACAAACGCGCCATCAAAAAGGGGTAAAAGATTAACTATTTTGCATGCTGGCTCTAAAGATGGTTGGTTTCTCTGTCTGCGAAAAATATTAAAAATTCTTCTCTGGATTACCATGAAGACACCACCGCTAATTTATTTGAAAGTTGGTTTAAAAACAAACTAGTTCCAAATATTCCTCCTAATAGCGTAATTGTAATGGACATTGCAAGTTATCAAAGTAGAGAGTTGACTAATGTGACACAAAAGCAACAATCCCAACTACATGTATAATAACGACATTTATTTTCACGAAGATTATACCAAAAAGCAATTAATTCAGGTTCTAGAAAGCTTGAACCTACAGAAATGTCTGTGATAATTATGCAAAGAATCTAGGGCATACAATTTTAAGGCTTCCATCTTACCACTGTATATTTAATCCCATTGAACAATGTTTTTCCCCGTGTTAACTCCAATGTTCAATAATATAGAACAAATAATAATTAGAACGGACGATGATAGCGATAATGATACTGATATATTATGTGAATAATTTTAAGTAATTTAAGTAGGTAGATTTAAACATAAGTACTTATATAAATAAATAAATATTGTTTAGTATCTTTCCTAACAAAACCTAAAATAATTAAAATCTAAGCAAAGTACCGTCCTGTTCGGCCATATTTCATTCTTACAGCTTGCCCGGGTCTTTTCGTAATTCGTTCAGTTCGTAGTCACTTTCTCATATCTATAAACAGACGTTATATGTGGGAACGCTGTACTACTACTACTGAATCGTTTATTTCGAGTTGTTTCCTAGTGTTAAATGAGTTCAGCATGTTCCTGAACATTAAAAGGCTTTAGCGTTCTTTCTTCTTCATTGGTCCACAGTCAAAATAAATAACGAAAAAAGGATAAAAGTTGTTGTACATTGCCGAAATTATTTGGAGAAATATATTCGAACTAGCGAGATTGCAGCAGTGTATAAATTCTTCGGGATGCAATACTGAAATGCTGACATGGTCGTTTAGTGGTAAACAAAGTTAAGATAGAAATGACAGACTAACATGTTAGTATTTTTATTATTAAAAATAAATGGAATTTGGTTAATGCTCACTTGGTACAGGTAGCATTTCTCTACTTTCTACACATTGAAAATATTGTATCTATATCGTCAGCCACGTATATATGTTAGATTGAGTGAACGAACAAAGCTTACGTAAAAAAATATAGACATGTTCTATAAAAAACCTCAATATTATTCGGCTTATATGAATATGAATTAATCAATCATTACTTGCAAATGATTTCTGAAAATCAGTTTACTTTAATGAAAGAGAAAAACATTTACTAAATTAATCTCTATAATAATAATAACCAAATTTATTTCAACAGGTTTGCACCTAATTACAGAAAATACATAAATAAGAGAAAAATAATGAAAATACAGTACAAAATACAATGAAGCTAAATTACTCGCACACGTACTCTAAGGAAACTAATACACAGTTATAAACTCTGCGGATGATCCAGAAAGTCGTCAACTATCTCAGGAAGCGCATCCCCATTAACATCACGTATGTCTGAAACAATATTGAAGTTCACCACACACAACCAAAATTGGCGACTTATAATGGGTGTTTTTTTTCGTTGTGTAGAACTTCAAGTTGGCATTACTGTTCAAGATGGCGACCGATTTAACAGCTGTCAAGTGATTTATTCTCAGTTTGGTTTGGCAATTCATCATGAATAGACTCACGCCTGAACAACGCTTGCAAATAGTGCAATTTTATTTCGAAAATAATGGTTCTGTGCGTACTACGTCCATTTTATCGTCGACAAAATCGTCCATCAGGGCAGTTAATTCGATTAACCATGGAACGTTTTCGCACCACGTTTACTCTTATTGATAACTCACATTTCCAGAGACGCCGTACGGTGCGTACATAAGAAGCTATTGCTGCTGTAGAGCGTAGCATTGAGGAAGACCAGAATGAGTCTATCCGCCATCGAGCACAGGAATTGGATCTGTGTCCATTCACTTTATGGAAGATTTTTCGGAAAGATCTTGGTTTAGGTGCTTACAAAATCCAACTCGTGCAAGAATTGAAGCCAATCGATCATCAAATAAGGCGTAGATTCGCCGAATGGGCCCAAAAAGATATTGCCGTTGTTCCCGATTTTCATAAGCGAATTTTGTTTAGCGATGAAGCGAACTTCTGGTTGAATGGCTACGTCAACAAACAAAACTGCTGCATTTGGAGCGAAGCTAATCCTCAAGTGTATGTCGAAACACCGCTACATCCAGAAAAATTGACTGTTTGGTGCGCTTTATGGGCTGGTGGAATCATTGGTCCGTACTTCTTCAAAAACGATGATGGCCAGAACGTTACAGTGAATGGTGATCGGTATAGAGCTATGATTACTAACTTTTTCATTCCTGAATTGAATAACCATGATGTCCAGGACATGTGGTTTCAACAAGACGGCGCAACATGTCACACAGCTCGTGCCACAATCGATTTATTGAAAGACACGTTTGGTGACCGCCTAATTTCACGTTTTGGACCTGTGAATTCGCTTCCAAGATCTTGTGATTTAACACCGCTAGACTACTTTTTGTGGGGCTATGTAAAGTCATTGGTCTATGTGGATAAGCCACAAACGCTTGACCATTTGCAAGACAACATTCGCCGATATACGGCCACAAATGTTGGAAAAAGTCATCGAAAATTGGACGTCCAGATTGAACTACATCCGCGCCAGCCGTGGCGGTCATATGCCAGAAATCATATTTAAATTGTGATGCCACATGATTATCTTTCGGATTAATAAAATTCATGTCATCGTTGTTTTATTGCAACTTAAAGTTATATACATTGAAAAAAAAACACCCTATATAAAACAAAGCCACAACAAAGCAACAACAAGTTCAACGTACCATGCAAACGTCCATACAGAAGTTTTGAAGAATTAATGTGAGGATATATTTTATCTTCCTTAAAAGCTGAAGAACCTTGTCTCGATCAACTCCGAGCTGACATTAATATACTGACCCTCATACCAACGATCCATATTGTAATTTAGATCTCATGGAAGAATAATACAGAATTATAACAGTTGAGGTATTGTTGAAGTGTGGGCTTCTTATTACGAAACCCAACGCTCTTGACGCCGATAATACTAATTGCTCAATGTGAGGTCGAAAAGAAATTCCGGAATCGAAGATAATCCCCAAATCTCTAACTTCACTTAATCGATTCGATACAGATCCATTTATTACGTAATTAAATATCTTTATGTTCAGCTTTCTAAAATAAGTAAATACACTTAGAAACATTTAAACCTAATCGCTTAACGAGACATCATTCGCATATTAGATTAATGTTATCCTAAAGCAATAAGCAACGAATTAATTGCGCGATAGATTATCAAATCGTCAGCATACACTAATTTATTACAATTTAACTTACCAATTAGATCTTCAATGAAGAAGAGGTCATAAATTTGGGCCTTGCGGTACCGCCGATGTAGGATGAAATACTAGGGAGCTAAAGCCCTCGTATGGAACAAGATGTCTACGATCTCAGCGATATCGCAAACCTGTAAAATAATTCAATCAATCAAATTCAGCATACTTCACATAGTCGCTTTGGTAGCTTGGTTGACGGGCGTTGCCCTGCGCATAGCCGATGCGTTTTGAGATAAGTTTTAAGAACTTTCTGGACTAATTTTATCTATTCAATTGTCTGACGCCATATCAGAAAATCTATAAAAGCGGGCGACGATTCGATTTCAATTGAACCCCAAACAAGTAATCCATCTCGTTGATTGCCGGTAATGTTGACAAGTGCATTTAGGTGTAACTTTTAGTGATTTAATTTCACTTGTTTCAGATTCCTTTTCATAAAAAAACGCATCCAAAGAGAAATGAATCTTGCAAGTGAGTCCAGAACCCCCTGTCTATATTGTCTGCATCTCGTCAGTATCGTAAAATTTTCTGACCAGACCTTACGAGTCTGGTTTGCGCCATAGTATTGCTGCCTCGAAGCGAAAGCCAAGAGAGAGAAGAGATTGCATCTTTGCGAAAAGTACGGGACGTTGCTGCTTCGGTCACCATCCCAAAACTCATCAGCATCTACAATCTGGAGCGTCATTTCATAGACGCGATATCCGGAGTGAGATGTCCGTACTTGAATCGTCTCTACCGGAAAACTAAGAAGAAGCGGACGTCGAAGAAGATGGTAAGCAAACAATGAGTTTTTTTTATGGGCGAAGTGCTTCGTTTCAGCTAGAAAGCGTTATCTACAAATCTCTCTACTTCTATATTCGAATATTCGAATCTCTCGACGAATTCCGATTGAAGTCCAACGTAACATTTAATATGACGGAAAGGAGTTTAGCCATAAAAGGAATCGGCAATGTAGTCACGATGGCCGAGTCTGACTTCTATGAGATATTGGCTTCGCGAGGTAGGCCACCAAAATGGTTGAACCGTTTCGAAAACAGAAAGGTAAACCGAACCACCTGCGTCCAAACGACCGGAGACTTGGCGTACATGAGCTCGGTGGATTTGGGTTTTCTGAGCCGGAACTTGATGAAGTTCTTGAACCGTTGCATCAAACTGCTCAGAGGATTCAAACGCGACCGACTGTTATCAAAACAGATTAATATTATTTAAACAGAGATCCTGATACTCGAACTTTATTTTTATTTTATATTTTAAAAAACTTTTAAGACGATTTTATTCGAAACTGTCTAGAAAGGACTGATCTATTTCATTTTTTATATTATATGTTTTGAATAACATAAACTAATGTATTGTTTATTCAGGAAGGTATAATCTCTGAAATTATATTAGAGAATAACATTTCGTCCGTTTATTTATTTATATTTATTCATGTTTTTGAATTTTTTAAATTTTGACTTTTTAAAATTTTGTGTTTTCTAGTATAATAAAACAAACGTTGTCTATAATTGGGTATCATTTTTATTCCGAAGGAGTCGCTTGCTTTATCTCGAGTGCGTGTTATTGGTTATCGCGGTATCAGTGCGTAGACGGATGAAAAACCATTCGTTAAAGATATCTTCACTGTAATAAAAATGATCGACTCTGGCGCCAAATTCAGTCGCTTACTCACATTTCTCTGTTGTTTTTCGTTTCCACAAGTGAATACGAGCTTCTTATTTCATATGAATTAGAAATTACAACGCCCAGTAAATGATAAATAATACAATTTTAAAAATTTAAAAAATATATTGAAAGGAATTCACGTGAGTTAGGCGTCCACGCAAATTTTCCGCGATTCTTTTAATGAGATTGTCGACAATATAACCTCATGACGTAGACAATTTATCCTGATAATATTTTAATTGGTTGTACCTTTTTTATTTTTAGACATATGATAGTAATCAAAAAAACAGTATGTAAGTTAGTAGCCAGTTTTTTTCCAAGTGACGTATAAAACAAAACACTATCGATTTTCTGACATATAAGCCTACATCATATATTTTTAAATGGAACACGCTGTATATTATATATGTCTTCAATAGATTATCTTATTCCGACTACAATGATGTAACACACTCTATATATTAGAAAACTCGTTTTTGATAAATTGGCAAATATGGGAAATTTTTATATAGTGGAAGTCGTGATTAGCTTTAAGTACACTTTCTGAATAATAAAAGTGCAACCGCAGCTCGTCGACAGTATATTAGTCTTTATCCAGAGCGCCGAGCTTCCTCAAAACAGATATTTCCAGCGCTGAAAAAGAAATTTGCAGAAAACCCAGGGGCAAAGGATTTCAGAGGCAACCAATCAGTTAAGAGATAATCCGGAAACGTAACGAAATGCAAGTCATCATACAATTAGAAGGTATGAGAAATGTGTTCAGGAAAATGATGACTACATACAGCAGTATTTAGACTAGTTAAAGAATTTTTTACTTTAGCTTGTTTTGTCATACATACATGGTGTTCCATTTAAAAAATCTGATGTATGTAGTGTTTTGTATATCTTGATATTGTTTTGTTTTATACGTCACTTGGAAAAAGACTTGGCTACTAGAATTACATTTTGCTTTTTTGTTTACCTTGATATTTCCAAAAACAAAAAAGTTACAGCCAGTACATCAGTAGGCAGTAGATACAGGAAGTTTTTAGTGATTGTTGCAGTGTGTGCTCTAGCAAGGGCACTGAGACTGTTCATCCTAAAGCCCCAGTTATCGCTGTTATGTGTATAGCATCCGTGATACAGCCCAACAACTTGCGTCGTGTGCTGTACTTTTAACTTTAACAAAGTTTTACTCAGTTGGCTTACTGTCCGCTATCAAGTGTAGACTTGACGGAGTCGCATGCAGAGAAATGTGACGTTGTTCCTCTGTATGTTGATGTTGATGAACACGTCTTCCTCAAACTTGCCATTTTTCCAGTGCGTGTCTTTTGAACAAGCCGAGCTTTGAACCATTTGACGTTATGTTGTTTTTAGTATTATATTACGCATTAATGTATGTTCCCTTTGACCCTCTACTCCTCTACTTAAATTGAAATATCTCTTAGTGTATCCCTCTTTCTTTTGAATTGATGTTTCTGACTTCATTTTTGTCAATCCGCTTCTTAATGTGTGATGTCTTGCTACAAAGAAAAAAATAAATTCTTAATTGTAAATTACTTATAAATTTAATATGTTCTGCTTGATTTTAATTTACATATTTTTAAAGTAAGGACACTAGTGCAAATTGAGAATTTCAATATGCTTGAAATATGAAAGGTGAAAAATGTTTCAAATTTTTATTTTCGAGCTCCAACTTATGAGATTGCATCAACTCGATAGTTAGAAAGTCAAATGATGATCTATAATTTTAGAATTATTGAAAATAGCCAAACCAAAACGACAAAATGTAAAATACTTTTGATTTTAGAATAACAGGTTAACCCATTGTTGAAACAAGATTTATTAGATTGCTTAACAGTATCTTCAGACCAAAATTATTTTGAATTTAATGGGCAGATTTGCATCTCTAAGGGAGGTTTGATTATGGAAAATCCACTTAGTCCTTTGTTAGCCGAGATTTTTATGGATAATTTGAAAAATATCATAACATTTTTGAAAGAAGCTGTTGTAGGCTATTTGGTATTTAATATTGCTTCTACCTTGCCGAATTTGTTCCCAAAACATTTGGTTTTTTAACAGATTTAACAAATTAAAAGTAAAAAACAAATCCAGACAACAGTAAACTCTATTTATACGAAATCTAATACAGAACACGAACAATTTAAAAAAATTACATATATAGGAGAACCCAGTGAAAAAGTTTCAAATCATTTATCAAAATGTACTTTAAAAATATCTTTCAGAACTAAATAGGAAATATTTTTAAAAATAATAATACGAAGTGTTCAAAATCTCAAAAATCAGGTGTCTACAGGTTGAAATGCGGATCATGTCCGAAAAATTTATATTGGACAAACAGGTAAATTCTTCAAGAAACGCATTAACGAACATAAAAGAGCACTTAAAAATAATAATCTGGTTTCGAATTATGCTACACACTTAAACACAGAAAAACACATTTTTGACAATTTATGTTAGATACAGCCGCAAAAGGTAGAAAATCAAATTTATTGGAAGCCATGGAGATTAACAAAATGTATTGTTTAACGATCAATTAGATTTAAATACCTCTCCATTATTAAACTTAAATTCTCACAACCACACTAAACAAGGTTTTATTGTCATTTTTCGGTATATATGTTGCAGTCAAAGTGTACATTCCAGTCAATGTATACATTTACTAGCCAATGCATACATTCACTTCCCATTTTATTGGAATGTACACTTTAACTAGTAACTGCATGCATTGACTAGGTAATACATACAGTTACTAACCAACTGCAGTCAAAGCGTTAACTGATGAATTTCAAAATAAAATTTAGTTTAGCGAATAATTAAATTAATTATTGACTCGATGATTATTGCACTAGAGCTAGTTATAACATAAAAGTACAAAAGCACCTAACATAGAAAGAAAATAATTTGAAACACAAACACATTTATAAATAAGAAAAACACTTTATTTGTTTGAACAATTCAAACTTCCATGGCATTTGGAATAGCACATTTTTTTTGCTTTAAGGCATGCACATCTATTTGTTGTTCAATGTGATTGCACCGTGCAAATATCGCACATTTTATTACATTCCGAGCGGTGAACAACGCTGTTCCGTGTCATCTTGAACCACTAGCAATTCCCCGACATCTTCACTGAAGATTATATCTGATTCTAGAGCATCTTCCACTATGGTTTCAAGTCGTGGAATCTCCTGGGCACTTTCTTCATTACCGTTGACATTTTCAAGAATTTTCTCCAAATCTTCTTCATTGTTTATATTATTTAATACCTCGTGTGGTAAGGAAGAAGAGATAAGACCGACCTTGGCGGGTTGTCCAAACATTGCCTCGTAAGGACTTCGCTTTATACCAGCGTAAAGGGCTCGATTTTTCATAAACCTTTAATCCAATTACTGGTTTGATTTTGTTGCATCCATGCGGTTAAAACATTCTCAATATCTTGAATCGCACGCTCCACACTGCCTTGAGACTGGCTGTGGCATGGCTTCCTATGAACAATTGCTAATTCAGGCCATAAACCTCAGCAATGACGTGGTTAACAAATTCTAGGCCATTGTCCGATTGCAAAATAGATGGTGCCCCAATTAGTAAAAAAATTCGAAGGAGTTGATCAACAACTTCATTAACTGTCTTATTCTTAAGAGCTCTAAGAATGACAAACTTTGTTAAGTGGTCCTGGTATACCAATGTAAATTTAAATTTATCATCTGGCTGTGATTGGAAGTCAATTAAATCTACTTGACATCTTGAATTAAAATGAGAAAACACCATTGGCTTAACCACCAAGCCTTTCTTTTCATTCGCCCTTTTTTTAAGGCACAATTATTTAAAAATGTTTGAATATCTTCTGCTGTTATATTTTTAAAGCAAAGGTTAAGTTCCTTTTTCATTCTGTCTAGTCCACCATGTTTTTGGTACAATTATTGTAGTTTATCCACATTACATACATACACTATATCATAATGTTTTAGTAACCAGAAGTGACGATTTTCTTTTTTCTGAGCAGATTTAGAGGATTTAACATCATTTATTAGTTTCGTATATATTTCCGCAGTCATACGAAAGCCGTTAGCTTTTCGTGGGGTATTGTTAATATATTCGTGGAATTTAACTTTCATGGCTTCTTTATCCATTTTATATTTATGACTAAAAAAATAATTAATAATTATTAATTACTCTGGACATGTACAATTTAAACAATTCACTTACCAAGAATCTCAAACGGAACAACAACAAACAGCAAACGGTGCAGCACGAATAAAGAGGTTTGGTTTTAGGTTTCCCGGTAAATTTAACCCACTTCCCACTTTGACTAGAAGCGGTCCGTGAATGCATACATCCACTAGCAAATGTGTTCATTTCGGTTAAAATGAATACTTTAACTACGGAGTTTTGCAAATGTATGCATTGGCTAGTCAATGTACACATATACTAAATGAATGCTTTGATTGCATTGCACATATACAGTAGCAGAGAGTTTTTACCGTGCAAATTATAAGCGTTACTTAACAATAAAGACATATTAAAAAGATGGGGACTTATAGAAGTTTATAATACTATGTATTACCACAATTACTCCATACATATTTTTGAATTGAACTTGAGAAAAGAGGAAAAATAACGTAATTA